AAGTCCCAGCCACGATCCCACCCGGGGTGGGACCCTGCGGCTCACGCGCCCTGCTCCCACTCACGATGGCGACGGCTCCACGTGCGCCCCCGTGCCCGTGCGCGCCGCCCTCGCCCTCCCCGGCCCCGATTTCCAAATGCTCGGAGAACTTCTCATTTCCTCATCCTGCGTTAGCTCACTCGCCGCGGAGAAGGGCTACTCACTGCTTCGCGCGGCCCGGAAACGAGGCCCCACGTATAAAATCCCCGAGCTGTGTTTGGAGCGAGGGCGGCGACTCTGGACAGGGCCCTAGAGCAGCAGTGCGCAGGCGCGCCGCAAAGTCGGTCTCGCGTGATCTCACGGTTGCTACGGTAACTTGCAGCTGCCTGGCTGGACTGCCTGGTTTGGGGGCCGGGCTAAGGAAGGTTGGTCCGCTCACCTGTCACCCTCTCTCTCCCTTCTGACCCAATTTCTACCTTTCAGTGCCCGGCAGCCTTAGCCATCTCTCTCTCCCCGCTTTTCTGTATTTGGCTTGCCTAAGGGGCGCAAAACTCTAGCCCCGGTCCCAGTGCCCCCAACTCCATCGAGTCCCTGTGGGAATCCCCAAACGCCGTGAAAATAAAGATAAATGGAGGATAAGGAGTGCTTGGAGGAAAAACCATGTTTGCAGACAACAGTGTAGGCGATATTGAGCCCCCTGAAAGAGAAGGAGAGTAAAGGCTGCTTTGAGTTCTGCGACAGTAGTTAAGAAAACTCTTCCGAATGGCTGTTGTGGTGACACCAACTAATGGAGACTAACGGCCACGGATGGAGTCGCTGGGATGTCATGGACAATTGTAAACCAGCTGAAGAACATGTTCAAGGTCAGGCATCAGAATCTGTTGATTTACGCTTGGCAAGAACTTAGAAGACAGTAGGTTACTTCTGAGCTAATGAGCCTCCTCCCTCCCCGCCCCGTTTCTTTTTCGGTCTAACAGCCGCCCCGCCTTCCTTTTCCTCTTCTAAATATCTTTTTCTCAATCTCGTCACGGCTCCTTTTGTTTCTCTCCACCCCGTCTAGTTTCTACACTTTCCATTTTCATCACCTGCACGTACCTAACTGCCCATAAAGTAAACAAAACAAAAATCTGTGATGCTTTTTATCAAAGATTATTGCAGGCTACACAAGGTAAAGTACAAGATGAATTTTAAAATCACAAGCAGAAAGATTAAAAAGAACGCGGTAATGGTGAGTTTGAGTGTAACAACAGTCTTTGTTTCATAAAATAAATCCTGTTGCTTCATTGAGATGAACTGTAAACATGCAGTTCTAGAGTAGTCTTAGATCTAGCATTGAAGCTGTAAGATAAATAGAAAACATGTCTAATTGAAATGCTAGAATTATGAGAAGGAAATGTGTGTAAGATTTGGTCCCCTTAAGGTTCCAGATTTACAGTTCCATATTGTGTAGTTAGAGTTATGGCATCAGTTTACATTTGCTCGGTAAAGATTACCTTCTATTACCTTTCAAGGCTCTGGAAGGCTGGCTAGGTAGGAATCCTAACTTCATCACTAATTAGGCATGTTAATTAGCAAGCTAATTAACCCTCTATGAAGTGATAAAAATAGTAACTGTCGTGAGGATTAGAAAAGATAATCTGTGGAAGATGCTTAGCACAGTCCCCGGCACATAAAAAAATGCTCCATAACAATAACTGGGATGAATCTAATGACAACCTGAATTAAGAATTAAGTTAATAAAAATTAACGGTAGCCTCTATGATTTTAGTGCTTCTGTTCTAGTTTAAGACTAGTCATATAATTTCCACAAGAATCTTGCTAAAATGAATACATTGCAAGGATAATTTTTCTCCTATGAATATCACACAAACATTATAATAAAGTAAAAAAAAAAAATTTTTTTTCCCTTGACTCAATTACCTCAAAACACGTTTCCTTTCAAAATTGTTTCACATTTATGTGTGCATTTGTGTTGTTAAAATAATAATATAGATTAAATTTTGTGTAGTGATTTCTGTTCCATATAACGTTTTGCCATGTTTCTTAAACATAGTCTTTAAATTATCACTTTAACTCATATATTTGGTATCCTATACTGAAAGATCAGCTTTATTTTTTAATGACAGCTGTTATTTTACCCTTTAAAACTCAGTTTGGTCTTTGACTAACAAAGCTTTTTTTTTTTTTTAATATTAACTCTAGAATTGAACTACTGTTAGATATATACACATGCCATGATATAAGAGCAGTTTAAGATACTTGGTGATAATTCATGTCATTAGCCACAGTCCTCTGATGAACTAAATGAAGCCCCAACAATAAAGTGTGTCAATAGAACAATAGAAGAATATAAGAGAATTTATTGACAGATTCTTCTTTCTCTTTATGGCATTCTAATCTTTGCAAGCTGTTGTTGTCAGTGCAGTCTAAACCAAAAGGCCTGAGACCCAGGGGGGTTGATGATGTGATTCCTAGTTTGAGTGCCAGAGAAGATGAGATGAGATGTCCCAGCCAAATCTGTGAGGCAGGAAAAATGGGACAAATTCTTCCTTCCTCTCCTTTTTGTTCTATGCAGGCCATGGATGGACAGGTTGATGCCCACCCATTGGGGATGGGTCAACTCTACTGAGTCCACCCATTCAACTGCTAATCTCATTCAGAAACACTGAGAAATAATGTTTAAGCTGGGTACCCCATGGTCAGTCAGGTTGGCACATAAAATTAACCACCACAGTGTGACTGTTCTTATATCATATGTAACAATAACAATTGTTACACAGACAGTAATCAGTTACTAAGAACAAACTAATTATGAGCTACAAAATCAAAGAATGGCCTTTGAGTCTGCTATTGAAAGCTCCGCTAGGTAGGACTGTATTATACTCCAAAGAGGCAATATAAATGTGAGGCATTTCAAGTAGTTAAGCAAGCCGTAAACAACAGCGTGGTGGCAGTGCCACACGTCCATAAATAGCACCACTAAGGAGAAAAAGAACCTAATTGGACTCAGACCATTTATTATACTTACACGACAGCAAAAGCAAGATCAACGTGATGTCTCTAGTCACAGAGGTCAGATAAACATAGGTTTATGCGTGGTGGGTCACCTTTCATTGACACACCAACTTTAAAACTCACCCTAGCAATTTCAGAGATATGCAGAAGCCAGCAACTAGCTGTACCCTAAGGAGGCGAGGGGTGGGGGAGGCAGAGCAGAGAGGACAAGATGAACAGCCCTCCTCTCAGCCGAAACTGGGGAAATGAAAGGGAAACAGCTTCATGGGAGTCTCCCACAAGACGGGGAGGCCTGGAGGAATCGCAGGGCGCTCTGCCCAGGCGCCGGTCGGACTGCAGTCAGGCCTGGCCTCTGTGGCCAGGTGGGGACGTGGGAGGTGGTCAGGGGGCCTTGGCAGAGCTGTCCTATTAAAAAAGATAAATTTGAAAGACCTTAAGTCAAATGGCAATAAGGTCAGTCTGAGACATCTTTTTTATTTTTAATAAATCATTTTTAACTTGTTTTTTTTTTTTTTTTTTTTAGGGAAAAGTCCTAATGTCAGGGGTTTCCAACCCCCAGGCCACAGACCGGTACTCTTAGGAAATGGGCCACAAGGCAGGAGGTGAGCGAGCAAAGCTTCATCTGCATTCGCAGCCACTCTCCAGAGCTAGCATCACCACCCCAGCTCCACCTCAAATCATCAGGCATTAGAGTCTCATAGGAGAACCCGTCCCTGGTGCCAAAAAGGTTGGGGACCACTGCTTAATGTGATATGATGCTAGACTTTTGATTTTCCATAGGTCCTAAAGAGCCAGCACCAATTTTGGAAATAAAATGTCTATATGATATGAAATGGGCTGCAAGTAACTGTCAAAACATGCCATATGTATTTTACATATACAGGCCCTATAATTTTAGGATTATTTAAAGTATATATGTAAATTATATATAAAATATGAATTAAATTATCACAGAATGTTTTCTGAAGCAATATGAGAACAAGTGATTGAGAAGCACTTTTAAAATAGAAATGGACACATATGTCTGTGTATCTGTATTAGGTGAAAAAAATGTAAATAACATTTTATTTTGTTCAATAGTATTTATTGAGCATCTTTTATGTGCCAGGGAATGTGCTAGATGCTAGATATGTAAGAAGGGAGAAACGATTTTTCTTCCTTTCCTTCCTCCCTCCTTTCTTTCCCTCTCTCCTTTCCTTCTTTTTTATTCAACAGATAACAGTATTTATTGAATTCTAAATGTTGAGGTTAAAGTAGTGAACCAGACAAAGTTCTGTTGCAGGAGACAGCCAACAAACCAAGTCAAATATGCAGAATGTCAGATCATGACATAAATAAAGCAGGGAAGGGAGGAAGGGGGCGCTGGGGTGGGGCGATAAAAGGCCTCCCTGAGAGGTGACATTTGAGTGAAGACCTGGAGGAGGTAAAGGACTGAACAGTGCAGGCCCCTGGGAAAGAATGTTTGGAGGTGAAGACCCTCAGGCAGGAGTGTGCATACCTGCGAGACCCGCAAGGGGGCCCGGAGCAGCAGGAGCCCTTTGCAGGAAGGTGAGAATGGGAGGGGAGGAGAAAGGAGATGGCTCTAAGCTGGGAGACCAGACTTACTGAATAATACTTAAAACTTAAAAGATTGATCGAGGCTGCTGGAAAAAGAGCCAAGGTACAAAAAACAGTTCCCTTTCTTTATACCAGTTGCGAACAGATAAAAAAAAATTAATTTTTTTTGTAAAAGACTCCATCTACATCATCATCAAAAATTATCAAGTTACTTAGAAATAAAACTACAAAAGATGCACAGGACCTTCAATGGAGAAAATTAGAAAGCTTTATCTGAAAACATTAAATAAGACAACAAATTGAAAGTGATAAATGAGTCGCGAATAGTAAAACTGTGTCATAAAGGCATCATCCTACCCATCTCCACCCAAATGATGTAGAATTTCAGTGCGATTCCAAGAAAAATTCAAATTTTTTCTTTTGTGGAACTTGACTTATAGATGTTAAAACTTATATACAAGAACAAAGTGCCGAAAACAACCCTTCCTGGAGAACAAAATAGGGAGGATTTAATAATTAAGACAGTGTGGTATAGGTGGATGAATAAACAAATAGAGAGCCCAAAAAACTATTCTATAATTGCTATTTGTCTTTTCTCTTAAATACACTCTAATCAGATGCCCCCACCACTGCATTAAAACTCCTCTTACGGCCATCAGTGATCTTGACAGTGACCGAGATCCAATCATTAATTCCCATTAATTCCCAGTCCTCTAACCTGACATACTTTCTCACCTGCTATGCTTTCTTGACTTGGTTTCCAGGACACCGTATTTTCTTGATTTTTCTCTTACTTCGACGATCGCTTCCTCTCTGTCTCCTTCGCGTGGTCTTCCTCTTCTCCCCAAACTCTTAATGCTGGAATTTGCCGTGGCTCAATCTTCAGTCCTCTTCTCTTTCTCCTCTATGTACATTTCGATTTATAGGACCATCTAGTCTCAAGTTTCTAAATACCATCTCTATGTTCATGAGTCACACAGTTATATACCCAGCCTAGACTAGACTTGGGTAGCCAACTGACTACTTGACATATCCACTTGGATATCTGATATCTCAAAAGTAACATGTCCAAAACTGAACTTCTGACCTTTGCCACCCACCAAACCTACTCTGCCTATGGTCCTTCCTATTACTCAGGTCAAAAATCTTGGAGTTATCCCGACTCCTCTTTTTCCTTCACAGCCCATATGGAATCTATCAGGGACTCCTGCTGACTCTACCTTCAAAATATATCCAGAATCTGAAATCTACTTCTCACTACCTCCACTGCTACCACTTGAGTTTGGGAGCTCCATAAGTTCTTCCCTGGGTTATTATTACTCTAAGGATCTTGCTTCCAACCTTGTTCTGTAGTCTATTTTCAACACAGTAATAAGAGTGATCCTTCTAAAAAGTAATTCAGATCATGTCAGTCCTTGCTCAAAACCCCTCAATGGTTCTGTCTCACTTCCGCTAAAACCAATGGCTTCATGCAAGGCCTTACATGATCTGGTCTCCATCTCCTGTCCCTGGACCTCTTCCCTTACTACTCTGCTCTGGCCACATTGGCTCCTTGCTGTTCCTCCTGCCTGGGAATCTCATTCCTTAGGGCCTTTGTGCTGGATGCTATCTTTTCAAGAGAAGCTCTTTCACAGGGATCTTCCTGGCCAGCTCCCTTATCTCCTTCAAGTTTTTACTCAACTGTTGTCTTCTCAAAGAGACCTATCCTGATGACCCTATTTACAATATTAAGTCATCTCCTCCACCCATATACCCAAGGCTCTCCATTCCTTTTGCTCTGCTCTTTTGAAAAATCACACTTATCACCTAACATCTTTTAATAAATTATAAAATTTACTTATTATGGTGTTTATTATCTGTAATTTCATATCAGAATGTAACACAAGTGTTGGGATTCTTGCTGATATTTCTCAAAAACCCAAATCAGTGTCTTTCTCAGGCACTCAAAAACTATATGAATGAATGAATGAATGAATGAATGGAATCAGGAAAGTCACAAAAGCAAAGGTAATATGCTATTTCTTAAACTGGTGGTAGGTTTATAAACGTGCCCTTTATTTTTTAAATTTTATTGTATATGCATGTATATTGGTTTATAATCAATATTTCATAAAATAGTAAAAAAAAAAAAAATTATACAAACTGATTCTTGTCCTAAGGGTTCCAGAAAGCTGAGTTCCACTGTACCTAGTATGCTATTATCAGTGGACAGAAGACATCAATATTTCCACTGTCTCTTTTTCCTTCTCTAGTTCTTGAGACTAGACACCCATGGTGCAGCAACTCAAGAGAAGAATGTGCTTTGAAAAAGAGTTCTTAACAGTCTAGACTTAGAGGATAAAACAGAGGAGACATACCTTCCCTCTTCCCTTCTTTTGATTTCTTAAAATGACTATAATGCCAAAATGTTCCCGTTTCAGAGAGACATGGATATTGGCCCTCCCTGCAGTATTTTCTTGTTGAAATACTGGTCAACAGGGCTAACACCAGCAGAAGCAGCTCTCACTGGTCTGAAGCCCATTTGCCTTTGGACCCCTCTCCCCCCGACC